GCGACGAGGAGAGGGACCCTACGACAGGTGAAATGATGGTCTACAAACTGGAGAAAAGTCTGTACGGCCTGTCACAGTCCCCGTCACTGTGGAACGACGCCATCAATGACAGACTCATCATCTTCGGCTGGCAGCGCACTCGTTCTGACCCCTGTGTCTACATCGTCGAAAGCGGGGACGAACTCACAATCCTCGCGATCTACGTCGATGACATCCTCATCACGGGCGGAAACAAGGAGATCGTAAGCAGGAAAAAGAAGGAACTCATGGACAGCTTCGAAATGACAGACATGGGAGAGGTCAAGCGCGTAATCGGCATCGAAGTGCAGCGGGACTACGAACATGGCACACTAGCCATATCGCAAGGACCCTACGCGAGAGATATCCTACAGCGATATGGAATGGAACAGGCAAACCCGGTCAGCACCCCCGGGTATGCAGAACTGTCAACCGAGCAGCCACAAGACCAACTATTCGTCGGATCCAAGGACAAGCAGAGATTCCAGGCCATCACCGGGAGTCTCCTGTACCTTGCCCAATGCACCCGCTACGATCTGTCATACGCAGTGCACCAACTGACACGGGCATGCGCAAACCCAGCACAGGTCCACATGGCTGCGGCCAAGCACCTACTACGGTACCTACGCGGAACGCCGGACCTGCCGATCGTGTACAAGAAGGGGCAGTTCAGACTCTCGTGCTTCACTGACTCGTCATTTGGAGCCAACCCAGACAACGGCAGGTCTACCACCGGATACCTGTTCTTCCTAGGAGGGGGACTGATCAGCTACGGAGCCAAGGCACAGACTCTCGCAGCACAGAACACCGTGGAGGCCGAACTTCAAGCGCTGAGCTTCAGTGCTCGCGAGGCAGTCTACATCTCCAACTTCATGACGCATATCGGATTCAAGACCTTTCGATCGGTACCCATCAACAGCGACAGCACCGGAGCATTGACTGTGGCCAGCAACGCGATGTTCAGCTCTAGAACCAAGCACATCGCGCTCCGGTTCTTCTTCCTCAGGATTGTTGTTGTCTTCACATTAAAAACCATCCCGGTCTCTCTATCCAGTACCTCCTTCTGTCTCAATCTCTCCGTACTAATCCATCACTTGACTCGGCCAATTTCCGTGGTCACAGGCTATGTGGAGGTCGATATTCTTTGATATGGATTGGGAATCGAGAGGTCGCAAAAATGGCAGCGAAGTGAAGTTTGGAACATCGGCTACTTGCCTAATCGAGGGGTCGTGTCGAGGAAAACTGTTACAACGTAGTCAGGCACAGTTTACCATAGGTGCGACTGCGGCAACTAGCCTTCCGTAGACATAATACAGAAAGAAGAGATGGTACTCAGCAGAGAACATGAGCACAGAGTTGTAGCGGAGATAATTTGGCAGGCGAGACTGTAGTTGTTTTATTGTTCCGAACCCCGAAATTCCGGTACTCGGGCCAATACCCCGGAGACCCTCGGAACCTGCTGTGATTTTGCTCAGTGCTGCTTGTTTTTTTTTTGTTTTTTTTTTGTTGAGATGAGACACAAGCGCGCCTTCGCCCCTTGTGCTCACTCTCATCTAGCACCCATCAAAGCCTGACCAGGGAGTCAGTTGATAACCACATCTATCTACATTTCTCTTTCCAAAGCTCGCTCGGGCCTACCGATCTCACAGCAGCAGTGTAGACCAACCTCTGTGATAGAGCGGTGACAGCAGTGTAACCTCTGTGGTAGACTACGAAGTCTACGAGCTACAGCAGCACCGCCACCTCCGCTGCTGCAGGACGCCACATTATGTGAGGTTGGACCCCCTCCTGCGGTTCATACCTGAGCACAGAGGTATTTTTATCGCGGGAAGGGTACAGCAATCCCTTCCCTCGCGACTTTTCGAAGTCGATTATGGTTTACTAACAAACGAGCTTTGCAGCGCGTCGCTTTCATCCTAGACCAGGATTTATTTAGTGAGAAAAAAACTCTCCCTGCCGGGACTCGAACCCATGACCTGGCCCATAGCAGACTACGAGGCTACCCACTAGACCACCGGAGCGACCGGTGTTTTCGTCCCTGAATGGTTGTTGTGCGAAAAAATATACTGAAAAGTGTAGTACTCCACATACATACATACGCTGAAAAGTTTAGCACACATCTCACCACGAAAAATGGGGGGACTGTCGCCATAATAAATAGGACGAAAACACAACACACATACCCTTTCAAGACCGATTCGGTTTTGGTTTCAGTCTTTTGTGTGATCCGCAAGACCAAAACCAATTCACTCTTTCGCAAACACTCCATTATTATACCATATAGCTCGGTGGCTATAGAAGATGACAATATAAAGAGCGAAGCTTCGCTCTTGATATTGTCATCTTCTCGGTGGTGTCAACATCGGGGGCTCCGCTGCTCATGGCAGGTACCCCGTCATCAGCCACGACACCCCTTGCCTCGCGGCAACAGTCAGGCAGTGCGGAACGAACGCGAAGAGACAGACAGGCAGACAGAGGGGGTAGAAAAATCCTCGAAGGCTCGGCCGAGGTTCACCACACGCTCTGGCGCGCCACCACCGCCGCATTGGAAGCGGTCCGGCCCGGCGAACATGGGGTCTCTGGGAATCGAGGAGAACTGGTGGCTTTATGTTGTGCTCTTTGCTGCCCTCTTCATCCTGCTCGCAGTCAACTCGTACATCATCGTGATATGGCAGCACCCCGATGACAAGAATGAGGCCTATTTCCCCAAGGCCGTGGTCGTGAGTACACCTAGCGTCTGGTTCTGTGTTGCTAAACCCCTTTGCGTGCTGCTTCTGTGTAAGCGCTTCCGACTTGGCTGAGTGGAGGAATCCGTTTCCACGTGCCCGAAAAACGAAAAAACACCAGCAGCAAGAAAGGTACGGCTTGGTATCCATACAACCTTGTGTTTATTTTAGTCTTCTTTTTACCACCCATCAAGCCGTCCGAGCTTCTTTATGCTCCGTTCGTACCCCCAAGCCAGCTACCCTTTGAGGGCAACAGTCCAAGTCTCCACTTGAGGCATTGCTGGTTGTGGTGTGTCCGTGAAGAAGAGCGCTCGGGCGATGAAAAATCTCGGCAGGAACAACATTTGTACCACAGCTGTGTAGGGTTCACACAACGGCGGAAAGAGAAGCGCACAACTGGACACGAAGCGGTTGAACAGCATGCCGGCGCTGTGTACAGCACTGCTGCGCCAGGCGTTTTTCCCACACCCTTGGCGGGGATTAAGATGATTCTCAATACGTTTACTGCCCTGGCTAGGTCAGCCAATGACGGTAGGCAGCCATGAGCGTGTTTGGCTTCAAGCCGGCTGATACTGCTGTAAGGACCGGCTCATGCTGTAATTTTGACCCATCTTCCGCTCTTCCGCTCAATATATCTGCTGCTGTGGTGTACCTACATAGACTACATGATGGGTCTTCCTCTGCCACGAACGCTTCGGCAGCATCCAAAGTTGTTCTGCTGTAGATCGGTCGCTCTTTCTCACTACGCGGGTATTGGTTCATCTGTCTTCCCTCTGCATTCCGACCTTTTTTCAACCGAGATCCTTCAAGTCTGATGTATAAAGAAATGCGCGGCACTGCTGTACTGCAGTACATTTGTACTGCTGTAGAATGAATAGATACCGGTTTCCTTTGTTCGAGGTTTGCACGAGCCGTGTGTTATCAATAACGATCGTTGTAAGATAAAGGTTTTATGATTGCCAGGGAGAAGAGGGATGCCGTGGTAGGCTGTGCATGAGACCATTCTTCGGACAGACGCCGTAGTAGGCTATAGTTGTAGACTCGGAAGATACGATTTACATTTTCATCTTTCCGTCGGCGGTAAGTATTGCGTTTAGCCGCATAGAAAAAGGCAGCAAAAAAAGCGACTGGGACAGAATTAACTTGGCGTCCGCCAGTCAGCTCTCTCCATTTAACTTGGCGTCCCGTCTATTTTCGAGTAATTTTACAATTACGCCGCTTTTCATGGGCGCCACAGCAGTCGAATTAACCAGTTCACAGACCAATACACACCATCAGCCGGGATCCTGCGAGCTGTAGTTGGCGGATACCACACGCCCACAGCAGGATAGAACCAGCAGAGGCCACCCCGGTCTCTGCGTGAACGAAGTCTCGCAACGTTAACGCGCAGTGAGTGTCGATAACGAGCACGCAGCAACACCAAGAAGAAGGAAGCTTAAAAACAGCGAGGAGGGAGATCACACATGCACACGTGCATATTTCATGTCAGGCTACAGCGTATGTTATTACCTACACCCAGGGATGCGCATGTTTCTGTGTCGTTCACACGCCCGTCCTCTCGCCAGACCACTTCAACTAACGTGATGATGATGATGCTCTGGCATCATTTCTGCATCTGTTTGTTATGTGCTTCCTTCTTCGCGCTCTTGACTCCATCCCATCTGGATCTCTTTGGAATGAACCACCCGAAGCAATCATCATCGATACCATCTCGTTGGTATGTTGAGCAACCCATGGCAACATATCTGTACGGTGATTTATTTCTTCGCTGCCACGGTGACGACAACTCTGCTCTGGTGTCTCCTTTCCTTCATTAATTCAGAGAGGTGCAACATTTTGAAAGCGCGCGGCCCGCAGATGGGTATCACACATGCATAATTAACCTCAAAAACCTCTGTCCCGGTACATGAAAATTTTACCGAAACTTGCGATCCATATCTGAAGTCTTCATGGAGGCGTTTTTTTGGAGAGAATGAAGGCGTTTTAACTGTAGAAAAACAGGAAATGCGAGGCCTGCCAATATCCTCGTTCCTCTGCTCAACTCTGTTTGCTGATGATTCTGACCCCCCCCCCCCCCC